CCAGGACCTCAATTACTGATGATAATACAGAGAAAGAGAGAGAGACTGAGACACAGAGGTGTTTTTAAAAGGCATAGCAAGCTTCAGACAGATGCCATGAGTGGCCTTTCTGACACTCCTGGGCGTCCCCATGCACCGGTGAGCTGAGCTCTGCCTCTGGACCAGCGCTTTTCCAGGCGGGAGCAGCCCCTGAGCAGGGGAGCTGGGGGTGGGAGGACGGGAAGCATCTGCCAGAGGGAAGGCCTGAGCTGGTTCCATCCAATCCTGGCCCTGGTCCTTGGTCCTGAGGACTCAGGCCCCACCCCCTAATCCTACTAACCTCCTGTGTGCCCCTCCCAGCTCTCCCAGGAAACCCTGAGTGCAGGGAAATGGGAGAGACCCTCCCTGAGAAACCAGGTGAGTACAGGGTTGTCTCAGGGATTCAGTGATGGCTCACCAGGGCTGCCCGCTGGACCAGAGCCAGCCAGAAGGGGCTTGTGCGAGTTCAGCTGGGAGCCAGGGAGGGAGCATCGGTGAGGGGATGGCCGGGGCTCAAATCACTTGGTCAGCTCTGAGTCTAACTCCTGGGCCTAAAGAGGACCTCTCTGGAGATGAGAAGAAAAACACCAGTCCCGGATACAGAGGAGAGGGCTGTGTCCGAATTTCTGGGATCAGGAATCTGGGGATATTTCCAGAGCAGGAAATCAGAAATACTTTGGTCTTTCTGTGGAACTTTGGTGGAGCTGGCAAGGATAGGGCTAGGGGCTGTAAGACTGAGGCCAATCGGATGCGGGAGGCAGGATTCTAAGGGGAAAGGAGGAGGAGGCCTGGAAACCCCTTGATTTGCTGAGGAATCTGTCTCTATGGAGGGATGGGGTGGAGTGGCCAGGCTCAGCTGTCTGTGGAATGCTAAGAGGAGGTTTGGGCTCGAGAAAATTCCTGGGGACTAGGGGCACTAGTGGGCTCTACTCTGTGGGCAAAGCTTGGTTCCAATGCCCATGCACTCAAGGTTGATTGAATTTTGGCCTGGTTCTGCCCCCATCACACAGTGGAGCCTTGAGCCAGTCAGTCTCCCTGATGGGGTTCAGTCTGCTCACTGAGGAAATGAGTGGGTGACTGGGGTGACCTCTCAGGCCTTCTAGGTCTGACATTCTGAGAGCCAGGGGCCACTCAAACCCTGGTCTAGGTGGGAGTATGTAAAGGAACTTCCAGGAGGATGCCAGGCAACTTCCAGACTGTAGGTAAAGTCAGAGCACAAAGGCAACCAGGGCTTTCTCTGGGGGCTTCCATGACAATAGGAACAGGCAGGAAAAAGAGGCTGTCAAAGACCCCAACTCAGATGGCTGGAGTATGATTCAGAGCAGAGCCAACAGATTTGAGAGCCTGAGCAAAATATCACTCATCCCGCTGTGCTTGCAGCAAGGTTGCATGTCTGCTGGCCGGGCCCAGTGGGGACAGGGGCCTGTGTTCACACCAGGGCCAAAGCAGATCTGGAAAAAACAAAGTCCGAGCAACTGGATTATCCGTCTTGTTGTGTGGTTCTGTCTCCACTGGCATAACCACATTTCACAAGGCATTTTTGCAGCCAGGCGTTGGTGCTGCATAAACAGGTTTTTAAAAATCCTTTCCCAAAAGGCAGAGCTGGGTTGCTGGAATTGTTGGGGAATGTATTAGAAGGGGAATTCAGAATGTGGTTTGCTGCAGTAAAGACTCTCTGTGTTCGGGGGATAAGAGACTAGATACATTGTGTCAGACCCCTCCTAACTTCCTGAGAAATGCTGCTCTGCAGATACTGAGGCTGCTTTTCACACTGGGAAAGTCAGTTTATGACAAAAACATGAGGCAATTAGGTGTGTTTTGGACACTAACCAGAGAAAGTGCTTCCCTCTCTCCCTCCCTCTCCCTTTCTCCCTCCCTGCCTCTCTTTTTCTCTCTTGTTACTTTCTCATTCTGTCTTCCTTTTTAATGCCATGGAGTACTTACTATATTCTTCAAAGTTCCAACAAAGATGCACGACATTTGGACAATGTGGAAATGGCCCTCAGCCTTCTCTCCCTGATGTGGTCAGCAAAAACCTGGATTACTTCACTCTGATGCTGAACACCCGTCCTGTACCTCTTCTCCAATATCTCAGATCCCCAAGCTGTCTGGTTTGCTTCTAGGAAAGCTCAGCAATTCCCTGAGAAGAGTGTGGCCCAAGTGACTGCTTCCCTCCACCAGTGTGTCCCGTGGGGAAGGCTGTGGCTGGGTGACCCAAAGGGTGGGAACATGAGGCCATATTTACTTAGCCCTTGGCCTTACAGGACTGTGTCAAGGGGTCAGCAGTCCTTGCCTTGAGTCTGGTTATGATTTTGCAGCCTCAGCATCAGCAAGGCAAGCCCTTTTTAACAGCAGTGCCCTGGCTAATCTTTTTCTTTTTCCCCACAGCCAATTCCACTGATCCTGTGAAGGCTGCCCAATTTGAGGTGGGTAGTCCCAGTCATCTCCTTTTCCTCCTCCCCCATCCCTCCTCCCCTGTTTCCTCTCTTTTTACCTTTGTTAATGCAAAATTAAAATAGAGACTGGGCCTGAAAACTCCTGAGCAAACAAAGCCACCCAGGCCTTAGAAATAGCCTTATCATTGCTTAAACTGCAAACATAAGTGAAACTCAAGTTGGGTTGTAACTGAAAATAGGTAATACTTAACTTGGATCATTTCTGGTAAATGTTTATGTTAGACAGAAATAAGATTTAACTCTAGCCAATCGTAAGCAGCCAACTAACATAATTATGTGACTAAGAACACTTCAGTAAGGTACCTCACCCAAAAGACAATTATGTAACTGCAAACCTATGAAGTTTCTGTATTTTACTTCCACATTCTCCCAGTTAATACTTGTCTCTGACTTTCTGTCATTAAAACACTAGACCTCTTTTGGTTTGTGTCACCCAATTCATGAATTACTTCTTACTCAAATGAACTCTAAAATTTTATTGTGCCTTAGATTTTTCTTTAACAGTTTGGCGTCAGAAGTAGGATATAAAGTAGACTCTCCTCCAGATATCCCTAAGAGCAATGGGTAACCAGGCATAGGTACCCATTGAGCCCACTGTGTTCACTGGTTTCTTACTGCATTTGTGAGTCACTAGGTAAGTCCCTCTCAGATATCAGGCTTGCAACTGTGTCCTGAGCTCTCTGAGTTTATTTCAGTAATTTTATTTCTCATTTGATTCAGCGGTTAATCTGGGTGTTTGTCAAGTTCATCTGTTTTCAACAGGAACTACACTAGGTCTAGTATAGTGTACTAGTTTCCAGACAAGGTCTGCTTTCTGGATTGGGATCTAGAGGTCAAATTGGGTATTTGACAGATTGGACTAGGTGTTTAACAGAAACTGAACTGGGGGTTCAACTGGAGTCCTCAGATAGGTAAATTTCAGAAGGACAAGATATTATGGCTTTGTCAGAATGCACAGAGTCTGGGACTCCTCCATCCGAAACACAGTGATTTTTATGTTCAGATAATATGGGCCCAGAACCTGTGACTTTCTAGAGAAATAGGTGTGCCTTACCACAGATGACTTAAAATTGCAATGGTCACAGTAAGGATGTTTAAATCTAGAAAAAATTGTTCATTTAAGGGATGTACTGGGAAAAAATGAGATCCCAAATGTCTCAGAAACAATGATAAACATTTTTGATTGGTATATAAAGGTTTCTAAAAGAATGATTTTAAAAATAGTCTCTCAGTAAATCTCTACAATGTGCTAATAAGAAATTATTCTTTGCTTGCTTTTTCCATCTGAACCTACTCAATGCTAACCTCCTTAAAAAATTAGATCCTCAAATGAACCAGGAGCATCTACAACAACTAAATTTAACTCTTGTTATTGCACACATGAACTATTATAAAAGCAACCACTAAGGCTAAAAAGAATAAAAACTAATTGGAACTAGGCCAGATAAACTAGATGTCTCCTTAGTCAGTCATTTAAAATTTAATCCACAGTCTCATTAAGATTGACTCCTAATAATAGGTGAAAATGCCCCAAAATTCCTTATTGGAGAAAGCTTAATACCCTTTCTCTGGGCCTTCGAGGTGTGTAAATGTTTTTAAAACACAAGCTTCAGCGAAATGACTCATCAAAAAGAAAAAAAAAGGAGGGACTTTTTAGAAACAAACTGGCAAAAGAAAAATCTTAATAGTCCTCTCCAAAAATATCAATAAAAAGTGTCAGCCATCTGAACAGCTAACTTTAACTCCCAGAAGCTGGATCCAACTAATTAGTTTTATATTATTGTACCTGGCACATGGCTAACATTTCAGAACAAAAGCCATGAATTTCTGTTTGCATCTTGCTGTATGTTTATGTATATCTACACGTATGTATGCTATTTGTACATACTATTATTCTACCTCCAGAAGGTATTTATTAGAAACAGTATTAAAGGAACTCAATTAGCCTAGAGAAAAATAAGCACTTGTATAAATTACATATTTTCTCAGAAAAAAAGAGCTTTGCCAAAATGCTTTTCAACTTCATCTTACCTGAGTAATCTTTAATAAATAAGAATATTGGTATTAATGAAAGTGAATATTCCACCTAGTTTTACCCAAATAAGCTCATGTTGTCTCCTCTCCTACAAAATTTGTAAAAAAAATACCTTGAGATGACACGTAGTTGGTTTTGTTTAATGTTATGTTTGCCACTTTAACTATGTTAAATGAAATGACAGGTATTCATTAAATATCTACACCATTTCCAGATAAGACAAACTACTAAAACAAAAATAAAAAAGTGTTCCACTTATCTTTTTCTCTCTACCTGATTGTTTCAGAATTTGGAAACTCTTATTAAGTATTTTCATTTTCAATCTGGGTATTTGCATAGGTTCAATAAGAATCTATTCTCCTTGTAACAGGACATAATTGGGCAAGTCCTTGGCTTAGCTTCTTAGCCTAGAGAGGCTTTTAAAGGTCTAATCTGAGATTTCTCAATTACTAGATAGTTTTTAAAAACTAAAGTTGACTGATACAAAGTCAGTAAAGTGTCTTGGATATCACCAAAGCTCTGGCTAAAATATATTTTAAAATTACTATTTTTATTATACCTATATAAATAATCAGGTCAAATTTAGTGAAACTAGATTTATTTTTGCAAAAAAGTTAACTTTGATTTTTGGTAAAAATGGAAAATAAAAATATTTTTCTCCAGAATTAAAAAGATTATATTTTAGTAGAAAACTATGGTGCATCCATTGTCAAATTCTAGGCCTGTTCATTTTCTTTGAAGTTTTACTATCTCCCTATAAACTGAATTGACTCCTGATACTTTGTTTTTTAGTTCCATTAAAAACTAAAACTGCCTTTTTCCAAAGCTCTACAAACTGAAACTGGTGACTTTAAGCTTCAGAAAATTCACTACAACAGAGCATGTATGCCTTATTAATACCAATCTTAATGCCTGCTGCTATGTGAGTCACTCAGAGAGTTTACCAGAATATTTAATGAAATAACCAGAGACATTCAAATTGCAAACCAGTAAAGCACATCACATTGCAACTGCCATCTTCAGTCTACCATTTAAACTTGCCTCAAATTCACATCTAGAAATTGTTTCACCTAGCTGCCCTCTAAACTCAAAAACTAAGATCATAATTTGCTCCAAATATTAACTCTGTTTTTTAAATAGAATAATACCCTAAATTCCTTTCAAGCAATACAATCTAAAATGAGTAAGTTAGCCTCAATAGCACCCCAAAATAGAAGTTCTTGATATCTTAATGCTTAACAAGGAAGAGCTTGTGTTCCTACTGATGTCAAAAGAAATGCTTGAAGATCTCAGTTGGCTTTATGGTGATTCTAGAACTGGGCAACACTTGCCTCCTTAAATTAGAATAAGGTTTCCAACGAGTTACAGCAGAGGAGATTGACTTAATAGACAGAGAATGGTCTGAAGAAAGAAACAAAGAATTTAAAGTGGATTGGCTATTTTAAAGCTGGTTAAAGTTGCAAAAGACAGAATAGGGAAACAATAATAAATAACTGGTTGGTTAACATCAGGTTACTTTTTTGTAAGGATGCCAATTGAAACTGGCCTGTTTGCGAAATTAGGTTTTTAGGTTATTACGTTATTATCTCTCTCTCCTGATTTTTCCAAAGGCCAGATAACAATGTAGTTTCTGTTTGGCGACTTGAAACTTTATCATGGGTGATTCCATTTTGATTTTTAGTCTGTTCTGTTTGGGCCTAGTGCAGGAGCTTAGTGCAAAACAATAGCCTCCTAAAATTTAAAAGACTTTAAAGAACAAATGTGAGTTTTTCATCAGATAATATTTATTTGTATTCATTAATTTATTTGATTGGTTAAGTCTTGGCTCCCGAGAACCTTTGCTCAGAGGAATTTTTCAATCCTTGGCTATTATTCTCCTTATAGTTATTGTATTTACCTCCCCGGTGTATTGAATTATCCTACGGGTTTTAAATGCTTTCCTGCAGCCACTTGGACGTCAAACGATTGCCCTCAGAAAGAGACAACTTGAAGAAACCAACCATGACTATGAAACAGCCGACGGCGGCTACATGACTCTGAACCCCAGGGCACCTACTGATGATGATAAAAACATCTACCTGACTCTTCCTCCCAAGGACTGTGTCAACATTAATAACTAAGAGTAAAGTTATGCCATGTGGTCACACTCTCAGCTTGCTGAGTGGATAACAAAAAGAGGGGAATTGTTAAAGGAAAATTTAAATGGAGACTGGAAAAATTCCTGAGCAAACAAAACCACCTGGCCCTTAGAAATAGCTTTAACTTTGCTTAAACTACAAACATAAGCAAAACTTCACTGGGGTCACACTACAAGCATAAGCAAAACTTAACTTGGATCATTTCTGGTAAATGCTTATGTTAGAAATAAGACAATCCCAGCCAATCATAAGCAGCCTACTAACATATAACTATCTGTCTAGGGACTTTCTAACAAGATACCTACCCCCAAAAACAATTATGTAATTGAAAACCAATCAAATGTCTTTATTTTGCTTCCACATTTCCCCAATAAATACTTGCCTGTGACATTTTGCCACTGGAACACTAAACTTCATGAATTGCTTCTTACTCAAATAACTTTTTAAAAGTATATTGTGCCTCAGATTTTTCCTTTAACATCTTTTTTTTTCTTTCTTTCTTTTTGGAGACAGAGTCTCAATCTGTTACCCAGGCTGGAGTGCAGTGGTGCTATCTTGGCTCACTGCAAACCCGCCTCCCAGGTTTAAGCGATTCTCATGCCTCAGCCTCCCAGTAGCTGGGATTACAGGCATGTGCCATCACGCCCAGCTAATTTTTGTATTTTGTATTTTTATTTTTTTTAGTAGAGACGGGGTTTTGCCATGTTGGCCAGGCTGGTCTCGAACTTCTGGCCTCAAGTGATCTGCCCGCCTCGGCCTCCCAAAGTGCTGGGATGGCCAGCTTCAGCCACCATGCCTGGCCTCTTTAACATCGTCTTTCCTATGCCCTTTCTGTGGATCCCTACTGCTGGTTTCTGCCTTCTTCATGCTGAGAGTAAAACCACCTATTCACTGCTTTTGCAGTCGGAAGCTCCAGAAAAACAAACAGCCCAATTACCAGCACCACATTAGGTCTCTATTGTTTTGCCTTGGGATTTGAGAAGAGAATTAGAGAGGCAAGGATCTGGTATTTCCTGGACTAAATTCCCCTTGAGGAAGATGAAGGGATGCTGCAGTTCCAAAAGAGAAGGACTCTTCCAGAGTCACTACCTGAGTCCTGAAGCTCCCTGTCCTGAAAGCCACAGACAATATGGTCCCAAATGACTGACTGCACCTTCTGTGCCTCAGCCCTTCTTGACATCAAGAATCTTCTGTTCCACATCCACACAGCCAATACAATTAATCAAACCACTGTTATTAACAGATGTAGCAACATGAGAAATGCTTATGTTACAGGTTACATGAGAACAATCATGTAAGTCTATATGATTTCAGAAATGTTAAAATAGACTAACCTCTAACAACAAATTAAAAGTGATTGTTTCAAGGTGATGCAATTATTGATGACCTATTTTATTTTTCTATAATGATCATATATTACTTTTGTAATAAAACATTATAACCAAAACATTCTGTTTACCTTTTCAGGGCTCTATTGATTGGGGTGTAGACTGAACTATCTGGGGTCTGTTTCTTTTTGGTGATGAAAATCTTGAGAAGGTAGTAATGGATAAGATGTGGAGGAGAGGAGAGATGGGGATTTGGAGTGTAGGGTGAGTGCCCCTCTTCTTAAAACGGAATAGTCTTCTAATGAACTTGTATTCTTGTTTCCATGTCTTCTTCCCTTCCCTTCTATGGCAAATAAAACACTTTGTTTTGGAACACAAGTTCTCAGAAAGGCAAACTTCAGATGAGTCGTCAGTGGAGATTGCTGACTTCCTGCACTGCTATTTTCCCAATGTAGTTACCAGAAAGATGTGACCTTCTCAGAGAAGCCATTCTAGGCAGATTAGAAACATGACCAACAGTCTCCTTGACGGTTTGGTGGGTGCCCTTAAAGAGCCTTCCATTTTCCTGGGGCACAGCATCACTGTGCAAAATCTTTTTTGCATTTGAAAAGTAGCAGCTGCTTGTGTTGGATAGTTTATATCGATTTCTAAGGAGACTATGGAGCTTCCACCTACCCTTTAGCTTCCAGACTCTATGTATTAGTCCATTCTCAGGCTGCTGTGAAGAAATAACCTGAGACTGGGTAATTTATAAAGAAAAGAGGGTTAATTGACTCACAGTTCCTCATCCCTGGGGAGGCCTCAGGAAACTTACAATCACGGCAGAAGGCAAAGGAGAAGCAGGCACCTTCTTTACATGGTAGCAGGACGGAGTGAGTGCAAGCAGGGAAGGTGCCAGACGCTTATAAAACCATAAGCTCTCGTGCGACTCACTCACTATTATGAGAACAGCATGGGGGAAACTGCCCCCATGATCCAGTTACCTCCACCTGGTCCCACCTTCGACACATGGCGATTATGGGGATGACAAGACGAGATTTTGGGTGGAGACACAGCCAAACCATATCACCCTAGACAGAGGCTCCTCAAATATACAAAACCTTATTAAATCTTGCTTTTACATTAAAATGCACCCAGCGATTTGACTGCTTCTCAGTATTCTACTCCTACCACCTGATCCAAGCCACCATTATTTCTCACTTGGATTACTACAATAGCCTCCTGACGGGCCTCCCTGCACTCACCCTTGCCATCCCATAATCTATTCTCACCACAACAGCTGTTGTGATCTTTTAAAAATGTGTGTCATATTTGTCACTTCTTTTCTCAAAATCATATACCATCTTCCCCTTGCGCTTGGAGTAAAGGCTAGAGCCTTTGCAATTCTCTACAAGATGCTACAGGATCCTGCTCTTCATTCTCTCTGACCTCATCTCCTACTGCTTTTCCTTGCTTGTCTTTGGTCACTCTTGCTCTTCCTTGAACATGCCAGTTATACTTCTGCCCAGAGCCTATGTTATTTCCTGTTCCTGGAATGTTCTTATAGACCCACATTATGCCTCATTATGTCCTTTAGGTCTTTACTCACATGTCTCCTTATCAGTGAGGTCTCCTTGATCATTCAGTATAACCCATCTGCCCTCCCATACTCTTAATGTCCCTTTCCTTCTTCATTTTTCTCCATTGTACTTATTACTACTGATGTGCTATTAATATATGTTTACTGTTTGTTTTGTGTCTGACTTCCCCACTCCTCTCATTAGAATGTGAGCTCCAGGAGAAGCCTTTGTCTGTTTTGTTCACTGTCACATACTCAGAGCCCAGGTCAGTATCTGGTGCATGGTAAAGCACTTAATAAATATGTGTGGAATGAGTAAATTCTTTGACATTTGAAATCAGGGACTTTTAAACTGAAATCAGGGACTTTTAAAATGGAGGAAGCTGTGGCCCAGACAGGTGAAATGACTTGTTCAAGGGCAAACAGGTAGTGGATGTCACTGACCTTTATATATATACAGTTTGGATTATACTATAAATTTTGTTCTATAGTGAAGTGGTTTGGCTGTGTCCCTACCCAAATATCATCTTGAATTCCCACAACACATGGGAGGGGCCCAGTGCAAGGTAACTGAATCATGGGGCAGATCTTTCCCATGCTTTTCTTGTGATAGTAAGTCTCATGAGATCTGATGGTTTTAAAAAGGGGAGTTTCCCCACACAAGCTCTTTCGTCTGCCACCATGTGAGACATGACTTTCATCTTTTGCCATGATTATGAGGCCTCCCCAGCCACGTGGAACTATAAGTCCGTTAAACCTTTCTTTTGTAAATTGCCCAGTCTCAGGCATGTCTTTATCAGCAGTGTGAGAATGGGCTAATACATACAACTTGCTTTTTTTATGTACTCAATATTGAGTCGTGAGCATTGCACCACTTTACAATGTCTATTTAAGTCATTACTTTAAGGTCAGTTCTATTTTTAAAGCTACTCAAACTAAGCTACTAAACATAAGTGGATATATTTAAGTGTATGTATAAAATTTGTACTAGGCCAACTGTGGTGGCTCATGCCTGTAATCCCAGAGCCGTGGAAGGTGGAGGCGGGATTGATTGAGGCTAGGAGTTCAAGGCTGCAGTGAGCTGGGATTGCATCACTGTACTCCAGCCTGGGGAACAGAGCAGGAACCAGAAAAAAAAAAAAAAAAAAAAAAAAAAAAAAAAAAAAAAAAAAAAACTAAAACAAAAAAACCCCAACAACCCTGCAGTGACTCTTTTACAAAAAACAAGCAAACAAAACCAAAACTGTACTGCATGCATAAGCTCCCCTGTGCTATGTTTGAACCACTCTGAAGAGATCAATTAAAAAGAAGTGAGTGACATTGGAAGCATGCCTGTGTGATGCTGTGGTAACATTCATAGGCTGCGTTAGGGCCATACCTGTAACTCTTGAAGGTGAGTGGGTAAGTGGGGTTTTGAGGTGGCTAGGGGCTGGAAGAGAAGGTTGGAAGAGTCCACACAAGAGAATCCCTTAACAAGCCAGCACACAGACCCCCTGGCTGGGCCAGCTTTTCCCTGCTGAGGTGAAGACACGTCTCTTGCAGGCCGTCAGCAAATGTCTTGACTGTGGCATCCAGCTGTGACCAGCTTAGACACTGAGAGTGAGTGAATTTAAAGCCGACAGCTTATTTCCCTCCTGGAGTTATGAAATAGGTTACTTCTTTTCGACGACAGTTTGATTTTCCACTGTGGAAGTCATATATTGCCCATTTCTTTAAACATTCCTTTTTTTTTCCTGGACTGATCACCTTACCAGTACAGCTGATCTCTCAAGCAGCAAATTCTACCAGCTGTCACTGGTGCTCTCGGAGAGAGGACTGACCAAAAAACTCAGCCCAGGAACAGTAGTGACCTCTACTTCTGGACTCCTGCCTCCCTCTTAAAAGGTCTCTCGAACTTCCTAGTGGGTTCTAACCTGTCAAAGGAGAAAATAGCCACCTATGGAGGAAGGGCTTTTAGTTTCTCTTTTTACAAATGGAAGCTTCCTTTGAATCAGGCAAGTAACATTAAATAAAAGCCAACTTTTAAGTTTCTCTAATACACTGCTAAATTATAACACCAGAATATAACACATACTCTCCAGCTGCCAGCCATTACAGTTGCCACCCTTGTTACTATAGTGGTATGTCTGCCTGTCATGCATGAGAGAGGGGTTCGATTCCCGGATGGGGAGGTCACGGAAAATTGTGTGAGGATTTTGTCAACCTTCAGAAGTCTCAGAAATGTCTCCTTGTTTGGCTTTCAGTAGAAATCCGAACACCAGAAGATCTGAATGGAATATTCTGGATTAAAAAAAGTGGGAAATGGCCTCAAATCACAAAGTCACAGCCTGATAGAAACCAGTGTGACTTTACCTCCCAGTGAACCCATCTCATCCTCCAGCATATAGGGCATAGGTCGGACTGGAGCCTGTAGTAGTTTACTCTCCACCTGAGTCCTGGTCTCTGACTCAGAACCCACTTAGGCCACAGAGAAAAACACACACTGGGCCTCTCCACTGGGCCTCTGGAGAGGAGGCTCCTCGGTGTTACA